GGTTGTTTTTCTCAAATTTCGGCCCGCGGGGGCCGTTTCCGGGCCCCGGGACAATCAAACAAGCATCCGGGATGAAGAACTACTCCCGGGAAAGCGGTTGGGATCTCTGGGGCCGCGGATGGAAAACGCTTCGCCTGGCGAAGGATCCAACCATATGCAGTTGTGAGTCCCGCAGTTGTGGGTATCGTCTTCGGTGGAGCTCCTTATGGACCACGGAACGCTGTACTGGGTGGGGGGGACGCATGCGAACTTTGCCACTGGGGCCTTCGGTGGAGCTCCCTGGAAAGCATTTCTTTATTGCTTGGGGCATGACGGGCGTCATGGCCCCGCCCCCCCCCCTATGACGTAACGCTCCCCCCCCCTGTGCGCTCCGGGCACTGCCGCCGTGCGTATTGGGATCCGCGTAGGAATCCGCATAGGAGTCTGGTCCGCGGTCGTCGTCGTCGACGTCGCCGTCGTCGTTGTCGCTCGTGGCTCGTGGCTCGTCGCTCGTCGCGTGCGCGCGGACGCGGCTGGAGCCGTTTTTTTTTTTTTTTTTTTCTTTTCTTTTTTCCGGGCCGATGAAGGCGATCATCTGGGGGGGGTGGAGGGGGTCGATGACGTTACGCTTCGCGCCGGCGGCGCCTGGGAATGCTTAGGAATGACGGAGGACGGGTGGCACCAGCATGTAGGTGGCGATCTGCACCACAACGCTTGTGTACACCTCAGTGCCTGCGTGCACCACAGCGCCTGTGTACACCATACCGCCTATGTACACTACAGCAGCCGCGTGCAACACAGCGTCAGTTTGTGCCACCGCGCGGGCGGGCACAACAGCTCTTGTGTACACCACAACGCCTGCGTACACCACATCAGCCGTGTGCAACACAGCAGTGTACACCACAATGCCTGCGTGCATTGCAGTGCCTGTGTGCACCACTGCGCTTGCGTGCACCACAGCAGCCGTGTGTAACACAGCATCACGGTTGTCCGTAGAATGTGAGAAAGAATCGTTATGACAAAATGGAGCGTTTGTGGATGCCACCGAAAACACCAAAACATAATCTTTATGAACAAGGCAGCGCCAGGGGAATCTACGAGTCCTTCCGAGTTCGCCCGCACCACCGTAACTCCTCCCATTTGGGTCCAGGAAGCTCCAGCTACATTGGCCGTCCGAGAACCAAGTGGGCCGATTCAATGGACCATTCTGCGGTGCACTCTGAGTTGCTCACGTGCGCTGCAGCGCCAACCCGCACGACAGGGGGTTAAGGAGGAGGAGGAGGAGGAAGAGGGGGAGGAGGAGGAGGAAAACAAAAAGGAGGAGGAGGAGGTGGAAGTGAAGCAGAAGGGAAGAGGGAAAAACGTCGCATTCGATCATCAGTTTTTTCCAGGCGTGGCGCTTCCGCAGCAGATCCTCACGTACAGGCTCCTTTGACTTGTCCTATGCACGCAGGCGTTGTGGTGTACAATAGCGCTGCGTTGCACGCGGATGCTGTGGTGTACACAGGCGCCGTGGCGTGCACAGGCGCCGCGGTGCACGCAAGCACTGTGGTGTACACAGGCGCTGTGTTGCACACGGTTGCCTCCGGTGTGCACATGTACACCGGCGCTGTAGTGTACGCAAGCACTGCAGTGTACACAGGCGCTGCGTTGCACACGGTTGTTGCGATGTACTCAGGCGCTGTGGTGTACACGCGCGCTGTGGTGCACGCGAGCGCCGTGGCGTACACAGGCGCAGAGGGGGCAGATCGTCACCTACATGCTGCTCGCGTCGTCGTCGTCGCTTGTCGCTCGTCGCGTCGTGCGCGCGGGCGCGGCTGTGGTTCCGGAGCCACACGGCGGCGGGGGAGGGCGTTACGTCATACCCCCTCCGCCCCCCCCCCAAGACGCCTGTCATCGCCGAACATAAAGAAACGCTCTCCTGTGGGGCCACGAAACGCTGTAGTGGGTGGGGGCGAACTTTGCCAGTGGGGCCTTCGGTGGATCTCCCTATGGAGCCACGAAGCGTTGTAGTGTGTGTGGGGGGGGGGGACGCATGTGGACTGTGCCTTTGGAGCCTTCGGTGGGGCTCCCTATGGGGCCACGAAGCGCTGTACTGGGTGGGGGGAACGCATGCGGACGGTGCCACTGGGGCCGTCGGTGGAGCTCCGTATGGGGCCACAAAACGTTGTTCTGGGTGGGAGAAGCGCACGTGGACTGCGCCATTGGGGCCTTCGGTGGAGCTCCCTATGGGGCCACGAAGCGCTGCACTGGGTGGGTGGGACGCATGCGGGCGGTTGCACTGGGGCCGTCGGTGGAGCTCCCTGTGGAGCCAAGAAACACTGCACTGGGTGGGGGGGGACGCGTGCGGGCGGCAGCACTGGGATCTTCGGTGGAGTTCCCTATGGGGCCCCACGAAACGCTGCACTGGGTGCGTGGACGCATGCGGGCGGTAGCGCTGGGACCTTCGACGGAGCTCCCTGTTGGGGGGTCGCATGTGGGCGGTAGCACTTGGACCGTCGGTGGAGCTAGCTCCCTATGGGGCCACGATTCGCTGTGTTGGGTGGGGGAGACGCATGTGGACACCGCCTCTGGGGCCCTAGGTGGAGGTCCCCAATGAGGCCACGAAGTGCTGTGGTGGGTGGGTGGGGGAAGGCAGGAAGAAAGGAGGAAGGAGGAACGCGGGGCGCTGTCTCTTCAAAACGAGAACCCAACACCGCAGGACGATTGGGAAACCATAACGAAAATCAGGGAGGCTGCATGCACGCGGCGTGGCTTGCCAGGGCGACAGCAGGATACACATGCGGCGAGATCCCTTCCACGCCGGCCCTTCACGTGCGTATCCAGCGCGTGGCCTTCAGAAGTTCCATGTGTGAGTCCAGCCATGCGTGAACCCGCTTTCCAGGCAGTGCGGCCAGAGCGCCGCCTTTTGCATCAGCTCTAATCGCACCAAACGATTCGAAGCCCGCGCGACGTGAACGGCAGACTGCGGCGAAGCGCAGCACTTCTTAGACATTTATATCGTTCTGCTGCGCGGTCGTCAGCCAGGAGCGCCTTCCCGAGACGCAGCGGCTGACAAGGCGCGGGGCCTGGTGTGGGCACGAGGCCGCCTGGCAGCAGTCGCTTGGTGCTGTTCGGGCTGAGGCACGACCTTCCAGTTGTCAAGCAGTGACCCAAGAGAGGAAACTATACCGATGCTGCTGCTCGTCCAGAAGGGTCCTCGTCACTACGGCTTGACGGCTGGATCTTCCTTGAAATTCTGGGCGCTTCGCGTAGCCCCACCAGCTGTGCCACTGCTGTACAAACAAGTGGTACTGCTGTTTGCAGTCCCATCTGTGACGAGGTTGCCCCTCTTCACTCTTGAGCTGACACGATGCATTTGTGTCGCCTACGGCACGGACGTCGTCCGGGTGTGCCTGTCGGTCCTGCTCGTCTCTGACGGTGCCTTGTGCCGACCCACGCCGAGTGATTCACCTCTGCGTGTTTATGGTCGCGCCGCCGCGCCATTTTGGCTGCGTTCTTTTTGCTGGTCGCCACCAGGATCTCCACGCCACCGGGTTGGGAGTTTCGTTTTTGGCTTTTTCTGACTGGCTGCCCGCGCTCTCGCTTCGATTGCCTCTCTTTTCTTGCTGCCTCGTCGCGGCCCGACTAGTGTTCGGACGGCTTTCGAATTGCTTCGCGAGCCCGCATACCAAAAAGTAGCCCCACCAGCCTCCTCTCGTGCGCTAGTTTTTGGCCGTTGCATCTGCGCTTCGTTCCTTTACGCCGCCCGACCTGTCTCGCCGCGGTCGCGATCAACAAGTAGCCCCACAAGCCCATCCAGAAACGGTGCCCAGGCGAATTGATTGCCTTGATCAGGGGTGTGGAGGAGCAAACAGTGGAAGAAAAGGCTGGGTGAGACGTCGTACTCCATGAGGGGGAGGATGGAGGAGGAAGCGAAGTAGCAGGAGGAGGAGGAGGAAAACAAATAGTTCGGAGATGAGGAGGAGGAGGAGGAGGAAGAGGAGGAGGAGGAGGAAGTTTTTTCGAATTCATGTGCCTGCTGGGCGAGGGAAGATCGACGGGAAAGGGTTCGATGGCGATTCGCAGGAACGACCGGGAATCCTGCCGTCGAGTTGGGCAGAGGTGCGGTGATTGGTTTGGGCATGGCGAAGCGGAAGCACATGGTAATTCGGGCAAGCTGAAATTCGGGTTTGGCAGCCGAAAAATTGTCTTGCGTTTCGTAACCGATCGTTGAAAGCGGCCCTGAGGGGCAGGAGTCAGTAGGTGTTTCTAAGTTTTCGGGCTCTAGGGGCCGTTCTCGCTCCCATGCGCTACCAATCACAATTCAGGATGAACGGGTTCTGGGGGAAGACCCCTGGGGGTCCAGGACCAGTTCCCTTCAGGACTGTTCTTCCATGCCAGTTTAATAATCGCCACGTGGGCGCTGCCCGTACCGACAACCCTAAGCCGACCCCCGGTCACGGGCAACCACCGCGCGCCGAAGGCGCTCCAACTCCCCAGCTAGGTGCGCCGACGATGTGATGAGTGAGATTGATTCCGTTGGGCCCCCCCCCTACGTTTTTTAATGAAAGTTGGGCCCCCGAGGCAAGTTCAAGTTCAGGCACGCCCGGCAAACGTACAACCTGGGCTCTTGAAAAGCCGCACCACGTATACAAATCTCCAGGCACCCTAGAACCAGCCCCTTTCGGAACACTTGGCAACGTGAACTCGATATGGCATGTTCGCGCGCAGGGACTGGTCCCGGTTAAGGTAGTCATCATTCGTCATTGTTGTTCCATGTCTCTGGACGCCCGAAATGAGCACGGAAAGAATGGGTACAATGCCCAACAGCAGTTCCTGTTCAGTTTGGACAGGATTCGCTGTCCACGCCGCCGCGGCCTGTGTCCGTTCGAGACAGAAGGCCGCCTGCCCAACAGCGGCCGCTGTTGGTTTGGGACAACATTTGTTGTTGGGCATTGTACCCATTCTTTCGGTACCCATTTCGGGTGTCCAAAATGTCGTTTTCGAAGGGGCAGGGAGCCATAAAGTCGACTGCACAGGCGAGGACCATGCTGCACAATACTATCGAGACCAGCCAAGACGCCTGGTGGCATATCCGCCGCTCGCCATATGGAACGAGGCCCCTCCCACTCTTCTTCTTCTTATTATTCTTTTTCTTCACCTTGTTCTTTTCTCAGAGCCATTGCGGCTCAAGGCCAAACAACAAGATTCAGCGGGGGTGCAGGATCATCCTGACTTGCGGACGTGGCCCCATGGCATCAAGGGGATCAAGATGTCCCTCGACGGTGGGAAGTTCTCCCCTCTTTCTTCCCCGTGCCCCCCGATTCCCTCCGTAGCCATTGCGGCTTCATGTCAACCAACGGGATATGGCCAAGGTGTCTTTGTAACGTCGCTTGGCGTGTTGGCGCGGCATGTCGTCACTGGGATGAAGCCGTTCCTCTTCATTGACAAGTCGCATGGATTTTCCAGTCACCGAAGTGTCCCATAAGGACAGCCATTGCGAGTTTCAGCTTCTTGCGCCGAAATTAAGTTTGCGATTGTTGTGTCCTGACCCGCCATGACAGGGTCCATTTCGATCCAATTCAGTATCGATTCTGGCCACTCCGATCCGATTCCGACTTCCTGCCGATGCGGCACGGACCGATGCACGTTCTGATTCGATCCGATGTTTTGTTTTGATGCTGATTGTTTTCGCAATGATCTCCCTCCCCGCTGGTCGCGCGGTTGTGCATCATGTGCGGCACCTCCAGCTGCCGGCCGATCAGATTCTCTGGCCCTGCGCTGTAAGGCAAGCCGTTGCCGCGCATGACCAGGAGCTACCTAGAGTTGCGAAGGAAGGTTCAAGGAAACGCTGTTGCACTTCTGATCGGGCCGCCTTCCACTCAACGAGCGCATTCCGCTACTCGCCAAGTGCCTACTCGCAAACGTCCGAAGAAAAAACATATGTTAGCTCCGGCGAAGTGTCTCGTAGATCCCTCGCGGTGGATCCAGGCCATTTGCGAGTGGTTACTCTGCGAGTAGTGGGACGCGCTCGCCTATCCATGATATTCATCCTCATCGTTGTGGTTCGATTACATGCGATGGGTCTTGCCTATGGTGGACAGGTGCTCCTGGATGGACGCAGTCGCAGGCACAACAGCGGAACACGTCCAGTTAACCAACAACAGGTTCCGGACGGATCGCCTCCGCGAAGCTGCTCTCGGCATCGACGGCGCCGAGAGTAAGCGGCCCCTTCTCCCCAGGGGCAGCGCGAGAGCGCGAATGCGTTGCGAGGCTCGCCTCGAGGCGAGGCGGGTGCGTGGCGTGGCTCGAATCGAAGTGAAGTGACAGATGCGCCTGGGCAGGGATTCGCTCCGACGGGTATCCGTGTTGACCCCAGGAGAGGGGGAGCTCCGCGGGAGCTTCGCGAGGCCCGACTGGATATATCCAAATTGCGCGGCCGGAGGCGCCGAGGGTGCTGAAACACCCGACAGAAGCTCGCCGATCGCGCCAACGAGGCCCCAGGCTTCGCCGCCAGCGCGCGCGCGCCCGGACGGGCCATCCGAGCGCAACCCTGCGTCAAATCCAAAGGTAAGCAACCCGAGCGTGATTCCGCGCCAGCGCACCCGGGCGGGGAATGCGGCTGCACGCCCGGACTGGCAGTTCTCTCCCAGGTGGGGCAGCCCGCGCAGATGTCAAGCGTTGGAGGCATCGAGGCTGCTAGAGCATGCCAGGATCTCGAGGATCGCCAACGGGGCCTTTCAGGGGAGGCCAGACGTACCCCAGAACAAACGTTCCCTGGAGCGGGGGCCTTAGGGCCCACCTCGGGACGCCCAACGGCTGCGTTTCGGCGCCCACCGTGGCCGGAACCGTGGCCGCTGCGACACCTCATTGGGGGGACGCCATCCTTTGGGTACGTTTGGGACTGTCCAAGCTTTCGAGTGACCAAGAGCCAGCGCGTTTGTTTTGGTTCCCCCCCCCAAAGCAAAAGTTGGAGCGTGGGAGTGCGTGCGCAGTGCGAGCAGGGCGCCGCCGTGGCCGCGACCGAGGAGCAGAACGCCGGCGGATTGCCGAGGCCCACGGCCGCACAGATGCCCACAGATGCGCACAGCGCGCGGCAGTGGCTGCACCGTGCTGTCTGGGGAGCAGGGCAGCGACACCGCCACCGCCCGTCGGAGGAGGAGCGTGTCACGCTGGCTGCCCCGGAGAGGCCTCGTCGCCACAGCTGGGTTCGCCTCGACGTCCTGGCCGGAGCGCACCCCGGGAGAGGTCCTGGGAGCAGCGGTCTTGGTGCTCCTGGTGCTTCCCAGCCGAGGTCCTCGTCTTCCCCCCCCCCCCCACTCCCCCTCTTCGTACCACCTCCAGCGAGGCGGTCCACGATGCCTCCCCGAGCTGGTGACAGATGCGGGCATGGGGGCATCGCACCACGAAGGCCCCCCCCGCCGGCTCCTCGCGCTGGTGTGTGGTGGTGGTGGTGTCGCGTTTTCTTGGGCCTAGCTGTCGTGCCGCCGCCATCGACGGCGGCGGATTATTCACTGCAAGGTCTTCCTCCTCCCTGACCTCCTCCGACTGGGACTAAGAATCAACGGGAATGCAAGGGGGAGGAAGGCGCGGAGGAGGAAGATGAGGCGGAGATCGAGGGGGGGTGCAGGGGAAGGAGGAGGATGCGGAGCTTGGCGAATATCTTTCGCCGCGCTTCGCTCTGGCGGGCCTGGCGGATTCGCGAGTCCAGCATGAAGCCCGCGGACGCGGTCAGGCTGTGTCTAGACAAGCGCCCCGAGGAGGCCACGTGGGCCCTTCTACTCTACCTGCTTCTTCCTTCCTTTACCATTCCTACCCCTCCATCCCTCTCCTCAACTTCCTTCCTCTCCCCTCCATCTCCTCCTTCCCATCTCTACCCCTTCCTTTTGTCATCATATGTCTCTCTCTCTCTCAGTCTCTTCCCCTCTCACTCTCACTGTCAACATCCTCTCGAAGAAGACGGCGGAGCACGAAAGGAAGTTACCATCCTTCTGTCTACACCCCCAACGGTCCTCCTGCATCCGCCCTCTCCTCCCCCTCCTCTCGCCCCCCCACCGTGCTCCTCCTGCATCCTCCTACTCCCCCATCTCTTCCTCCTCCTCCTCCTCGTCATTCTCCTCCTCAATCATTCAATCAACAAAGAGAGCATGACGTTCGTAGCCTACACAAGGATCGAGTCGAGACGTAAAAGGGGAGATAGGGGAAGTGTGAAACCAAGCGCAAGGGGGAAAAAGGAGGTCGCGACCTGCAACCCCAAGCCCCCCCTCCAATAGAGGGCGCGGGAAGAAGTGCCAGGTCTTCTCACCCCGTGAGCCATGTAATCGCTGCCAGTGTGTAACTGCATGGAGGGATGAAGTGGCACATGGAAATGGCACAGCGCAGTCATGCATGAGCCACTCGTTCCATTCACCATGGGCAGCCGGGAAAGAGGAGTGCACATCAGACAAGACGGCAGCTGCAAGAATGTGACACATATGCCCAGAACAGGCCTTCGCCGCCGAAGTGGTCCACTTGCCACTCTTTGGTTATAGCTCCTGCAAGGAAAGATGGGGGTGATTACCCCCACTTGTACTCTTGCGAGGGCGACAGTCCACAATTCCACGGAGGGCAGGACAGCTGACAACAAGAAACCTCGTAGGCCTGGCATTGATCAATGCTGGCCGCTTCAACCCCTGGCGCTCGCGCGCGTTTCCTGAGGTCGGGCAGGTGCCAACTGGAGTGTATGTCAGCGATCTCAGGCCCCGGCGCATGATGTTTCATGATACAAGCAAGATGCATGGCGCGAAGCAAACCATTGCCATGTTCCACTTGTTTCGCTTCTTGTCCAGTGAGGAAGAGGAGACCCCAAAGGGACAGTGAAACGAAGCGGGCGCGGGGGTCGAGTGGTACCTTCAATAGGGTGATGCCTGGCAGCGCTCCAAGTCTCACAAGGGGGTCCTCCAATGAAAGCTAAAGCGTGGCCGGTCCTCAATGAGATTTGCCCAGCGGCGTCTAGTGTCGTCGCACGTAAGGTCATCCATTGAGGGGTGTGAGTTACATCAATGCTAAGCACATGCGCTCTCATGGGGCGTCGCTGCGCCAGCTCTTGACAGTGGTCTTTAAAGTCTTCACTGCGACGATGGCCAGAGAAGAAATGAATAGTGTAGCCAACAGACCTGGGAGGGAGGTAAGTAGCGCGGGGACAAAATGGACGAGAAACACGTAGGCCTTCCTGGTCGACGCAAGGGAGGTCGATCTCGGGCTCAGGACGGGGGGGCCGCGGCAAGAGGGAGGGCAAGGCCAAGAGTCCGACAGGCGGAGCGGGCCGCGCAGTTATCTTGCACACCCTTTCGTCGGTTCTCGCGGGGGTGGCGGCATGCGGCCTTTTTTTTCTTTTTATTATATATGATATATATACATATATGATATATTTCCAAGGGCTTCAGGCTGACAGTGGAGTTTAAGCAGAGCGTCGACCTCAGCACCAGAGAGGTCGAGGCCAACCTTCGGCACCTCTGGACTCATCCCCAAACCGTGCAAGGCTGACACCACCAGGAACCTCGGCACGAATGCCCCGCTGGGAGGCGTTCAGAAGGTCTTCATGCACAGTGCCAGGTTGAGTTCGGCGACCACCAGGACCAGAAAGCCCACGATCACGCAGTCTGCGGGGGGCGACATCAGCATTGCGCATCGCATGGGGCCCGCGGCGCCGGCGCCCAGGGGAACTGGCGTCTCGGTAGGGGCCCCGACAAAGATGGCTGGCCTCAGGGTGCCTGCGGCCAGTGGCTTAGGACGTCTTCCCATATGTGTCTCGGTAGGACGCAGGATCTACACCTGCGGGCGCGGCTTCAAGGTTGGCCCCTTTGTCGTCCACGTGGGCCATGTCTTGCTCATGTGGGCCACGGCTGTTTGGGAGGCGGTGCCGAGCGCCGTTGTCTTGCAGAGCGCGATGGCCCAGTCCGTGCGCAATTCCAGAGTTGTCAAGTACCTGTTGCGCACAGCTTCGTCCCCAGCTGATGGCTCGCGGCTTGTCTGGAGAGGAGTGTGATGGGACTTCCAGGGCAGTGCCGCCGTCGCTCAGGTCCGAGGGGCCGGCGGTTCGCTCAGGAGGTGTTCGAGAGTCAGATCGCCGCGCTCTAGGCACCCAGCGAGGCCTCGGAGCCCCCGGAGCCGCCCGCCTGATCTTCTGGACACGGATCAAGAGGCCGTTTTCCAGGAAGTCTAGCGCGCGGGGGAGCACCGCCAGATATGTACGAGATGTTTGGAATCTAGTGTCCACTGGCCTCAGTTCAGTCTCTTTCGGCACGGGCTTCCGCGCGAGCAAAGCTGCCAGAGGTGTTAACTGGTTTCCAGACACATTGTGGCGCCGACAATACGATTGTCCAGCGAACGATGCGTTGAGGGGTGGGTAGAGGGGGGGCATGCTCTCGCGCGCTTGTAGAGCACGACGCGGCGGGCCCCAGTTAGGATTTGCCGAGGCCGAGAAGCCTGCTCGAGGAGTGTTTCCTGGTCCCGTAGGATCATGCGAGATCCAACCTGAAGGGGGCAGTTTTCATGCGCCAATGACCCGAAACGGGCCTTGTGCCAGGCCTGCCTCTATAGGCTTACGCCACATCCGCCGGCCCCTTAACTGAGTTCAAGGTGTTGATGGTGTTTCCGGTGTTTGGAGGCTCCTTGGGCGCCAGGCTCGAATTTTCGGTTCGGGGTTCTCCTCTTGGGTCCGTGTTGGGGCCGGTTCGGAGACTTCTTTGGCCGGTCATGGGGCTTCTAGGGCCGTCTTGGCGGCTTGTCTGGCCGTCATGGTTTTTTTGGGGGGCCGTATTCCCAACAATCCTGTGGTGTTGGGTCCTCGTTTTGAAGAGACAGCGCCCCGCGTCCCACCTTCCTCCTACTCCCCCTCCTCCCCCTCCTCCCTCCTCCCCCTCCTTGCCTCTGCTCTCGGCACACCTCTCACACGTTTCGTAGCCCCACAGGGAACTCCACCGAAGGCCCCAGTGGTTGCTCTCGCATGCGGTTCCCCCACCCAGGGCAGCGCTTCGTGGCCCCATAGGGAGCTCCACCGAAGGCCCCAGCGGCTGCTCTCGCATGCGGTTCCCCCACCCAGGGCGACGCTTCGTGGCGCCATAGGGAGCTCCACCGAAGGCCCCAGTGGCTGCTCTCGCATGCGGTTCCCGCACCCAGCATTTCGTGGCCCCATAGGGAGCTCCACCGAAGGCCCCAGTGGTTGCTCTCGCATGCGGTTCCCCCACCCGGGCAGCGCTTCGTGGCCCCATATGGAGCTCCACCGAAGGCCCCAGCGGCTGCTCTCGCATGCGGTTCCCCCACCCAGGGCAGCGTTTCGTGGCCCCATAGGGAGATCCACCGAAGGCCCCAGTGGCTGCTTTCGCATGCGGTTCCCCCACCCAGGGCAGCGTGTCGTGGCCCCATAGGGAGCTCCACCGAAGGCCCCTGTGGCTGCTCTCGCATGCGGTTCCCCCACCCAAGGCAGCGTTTCGTGGCCCCATAGGGAGCTCCACCGAAGGCCCCAGTGGCTGCTCTCGCATGCGGTTCCCCCACCCAGGGCAGCGCTTCGTGGCCCCATAGGGAGCTCCACCGAAGGCCCCAGTGGCTGCTCTCGCATTCGGTTCCCTCGCCCGGGGTAGGTTTTCGTTGCCTCATATGGAGCTCCACCGAAGGCCCCAGCGGCTGCTCTCGCATGCGGTTCCCCCACCCAGGGCAGCGCTTCGTGGCCCCATAAGGGAGCTCCACCGAAAGGCCCCAGTGGCTGCTCTCGCATGCGGCCCCCGCGCCCAGGGCAGCGCTTCGTGGCCCCATGGGGAGTTCCACCGAAGGCCCAAGTGGCGCAGTTCGCATGCGGTTCCCTCTCGCATGCGGTTCCCCAACCCAGGGCAACGTTTCGTGGCCACATAGGGGGCTCCACCGAAGGCCCCAGTGGCTGCTCTCGCATGCGGTTCCCCCACCCAGGGCAGCGCTTCGTGGCCCCATAGGGAGCTCCACCGAAGGCCCCTGTGGCTGCTCTCGCGAACGGTTCCCCCACCCAGGGCAGCGTTTCGTGGCCCCATAGGGAGCTCCACGGCTGCTCTCGCATGCGGTTCCCCCACACAGGGCAGCGCTTCGTGGCCCCATGGGGAGCTCCACCGAAGGCCCCAGTGGCTGCTCTCGCATAATGCCCTCCCCTGTTGCGCAGTTTGCATGCGGTTCCCCCACCCAAGGCAGCGCTTCGTGGCCCCATAGGGAGCCCCACCGAAAGAGGCACCCACAACGCGTTACGAACACTTGATTATGGTTGGGTTCTTCGCCAGGATGATTTGAGCCTTCTCGGGTGCTTTTTTGGTCCATCTTGGGCGTTGTAACAGGCCAACAAGCGAATGTGATAAACATATGCTTTGCCCGGAGGGAATCGGGCGATTTTGTCGGCTTGTGCCGTTCTCCAGGAGCCACTTGTGGGTCTCTTGGGGCGTCTTGCAAACTTCCAGGACCGTCTGGAGGCCATTGTGTGAGTTTTGAAACGAACTTTCGGCGATTTGAGCCCTCGTCGGCCGTGTTTGGGGCTTTTGGGATGCCTCGGGGGCTGTCATGGAGCTCTAAAGGGAGTCTGGGGGCGCCTTGGCCCCCCATGGTGAGGTCGGGGGCGGGTCGTCCGCGGCCCGGGGTGGGGCGTCAAATTTCCGGCTGGGGTCCTGGGGGGCGCGGGGGAGCGTGCGGGGGGGGAATCTGTCGGGGGCCAATCGTCGGGTGACAAGCGCTGCCTACGTCGCGGCGCGCGTAGTCATGGGGCCACTCA